CACCAAACCAGCATTATAAGGAATCTTAGAGGGACTTCTTTAAGATGGAAAAAAATAAAAAATATGAATAAAATGGCAATAGCTACATATCTATCAACAATTACTTTAAATATAAATGGATTAAATGCTCCAATCAAGACATAGGGTGGATGAATGCATAAGAAAACAAGACTCTTACATATATATGTTGCCTATAAGAGACTCATTTTAGATCAAGAGACACACAGAGACTGAAAGTAAAAGCAAGTAAAAAGATATTTCATGAATACGGAAACAAAAATAAAAAACTGAGGTGGCAACACTTATACCAGACCAAAGAGACCTTAAAACAAAGGCCATAACAAGAGACAAAGGTAATCCCACTTCTGGGTATTTATCTGAAGAAACTCAAATCACTATATTGAAGGGATACGTACATCCATATGTATGTATGATTATGCATGGGTGCTTTCTTTTGTTATGTCCTATATATGGTTTTGCACTTAAAAGTAGATGCTTGATTCTACCAAATATTTTTTTTTAAATACATGCTTGGATTTGTCTGCAGTATATGTATGTGTGAGGATGTGCAGTATATACATGGTTCATTTGAGGATGGATATTTATGTGTGTCCCTGAGGTATCTACAGCCTTCTGAAAGGTGCCACTTATGTAGGGAATATTGAGGGATTTGTTAATATATCTGTATGTATTTTTTTTTTTTTTGCTCAGTTTCCCTAGATTTCTATATTGCATGTCTGTTTTAATGGGTGTGTGTTCTTAGTGTGGAAAGGATGATTTAGGTAAGAATTCGAAAGTATGCATTTAGAATTCGAGGGCATCTATGCATTCTGGTACGTATGTGTGTGTGCATGTGTGTGTGCATTTTAGAATGGCTGAATATCTTTGTGTGTGTTTGTGGAGAGAAGGGGAATTCAGTGTGTTGGTATGTGTTCATGTTTGTATGCATGTTTTGTGAATAATATGTTTTGTTGGGTAGTACATGCTTAAAAGTTAAGGTGACTATATAATTTATCATCCGTATGGGACATATTTGAGAATGAAATGTGTGCGTGTGCATGTATTTCATAATTACATTTGGATAGCAGAT